TATTGCAGCTTTCAGCATACAGTTATTGGGTGAAGACAATTTATTCAATGCTTTACACCTTCTCTTCCCATGTACACCTGACTTGGTGAAGATCATTGGGAAGTTTGGGGTCATTTCAGCCATGCTTTTTGTCCCACAATATCTCAGTACTTCAGCTTGTACTCTTTGTTTGATGTTACTCTGGAGGGTCTTTGTTTTCCTCTTTGGTTGATATTACTCTTTTCATAAAATGATGGTACCAAGCTGCCAGTCACCAAAGTCGCTGTATTTCCTTCAAGATCTTGGGAGTTGAGAATGTTCTGTTTGCATCCACTTTGTCTGAATTCATATCGACTTAATCTGCTAAAATAATTTAGCCTAAGTAGTGAAGTGAGGCACAAATTAAATTAAATGTTTAGGTTAAGTGTGAAACCAGTGTGTAGAGAAAGTGAGATAACACTTGTTCAAGATGATTAAGGAGAGTTTGGACATCTGGTGAATCCACAATAATGTTGATTATATACACCATATAAAATATGTACTTGTGCATCAGTTATTGGAAAGATGCAGCAGCATTTTAAAGAGAAAATGGAAGACACAAGAATTCATATAGTCCTAAAACAATAATGAAGTCTTTTCCACACTTGTAGGATCTATTTCTAGCTGCCAGTATCTGCTGTCCAACATGCTAAACACCGTAGCTCCTTAAAGAGAGTAAAGAATATCCATGATTTAAGGCATAGGATATGCATCTAGTAAAGATTTGCAATAAAGTCAATGCATGATCTAGATCAACCCATTATAATATAATTATAACTACAAGTTAACATTTTATTATGACTATTTAACTAACAGTTAAACGTAGCAAAATTAATTCATTCATTTTCTTGTCGGCTTAGTCCCTTTATTAATCTGGGGTCGCAACAGCGGAATGTACCACCAACTAATCCAGCAAGATTTTATGCAGCGGATGCCCTTCCAGCCGCAACCCATCTCTGGGAAACATCCACACACACATTCACACACACACTCATACACAAAGGCAGGGAGAACATGCAAACTCACACAGAAATGCCAACTGAGTCGAAGTTCGACCCAGCGACCTTCTTGCTGTGAGGCGACAGCACTTTCTATTACAACAAAATTATTACAACAATAAATGTATCCACTCAACTAAGTGAACTCATTTAATTGTCTATGTATTTGAAAAGGGAAAAATTGTCACAGAAGGACTCTGGAAACCAGGCTGGTTAGTCCAGGCTGGTGAGTATATAGACTGTTTACACAGAGTGGACCAGAAACACATGGAAACCATTGCAAGAATTGAGAAAACGTGATGGGATTGAAGGAGACAGGGAACTAGGAATGGGGAGGATCAGAAATAGGAACTAGGCAGGGAACCAGAGGGAATTTACACTAGGAATGAGATGAAGACACAGGAGAGATCACAAACAACAGGGAGAGGTGAGTAAACTTTTAGAAATAATATTGATACTGACCGTAATGAAGGGTTCAGTTCTTTGTTGATAGCAATGAGGCCGGACACTAAGTGCTGGTTGACTGTAGCTTTAATAGTGCTGGGGTGATGAGAGGTGATGATGTACAGATGTGGGGGTGATAGGCTACAGGTGAAGGTGATTGAGAGAGGGGAGAGCCTCGTCTGAATGTGACATTACCACCCCCACCCCTTCCACAGCAGTCCTCCTGATGGTTTACTGCACAGGTGTCAAACTCAGTTCCAAAAGGGCCGCAGCTCTGCACAGTTTAGTTCCAACCCTTATTAAACACACCTGATCAAACTAATTGAGTCCTTCAGGCTTGTTAAAAACCTACAGGTAAGTGTGTTGGAGCAGGGTTGGAACTAAACTGTGCAGGGCTTCGGCCCTCCAGAAATTGAGTTTGACACCCCTGGTTTACTGCTTACTATTCGACTTAGTATAGGAGGAGGTGGTTTCTTTTTTAGCACCAGCCTCTAAGGGAGACAGAGACAGGTGCAGAACGATGTTCTTAGGTGACAAAGGAGTGAAGGACCAGATGCTGACGAAACTGAACAATGAGAGACGGGGACCACATAGAAAGGATCAGGGCAGGGGAACTAAGGTTGGCAACCCAGGAAGTGCTGACAGGACAGGAAGTCTGGAAACACTGGCACAACTGGAAGCCTGGTGGCCATTTGCAGGGTGATGAATCAGGATATTGGTGGTAGAAAACTGAGCTCTGGGAACTGCAAGTGGGGCAAGATGCTAATCTGGAGACTCAGGGGACTCTTCCGACTGATCGTGGGCTTTGGTGAGTTGTCTGAACTGTTTGTGGATGTCAGGAGAAGGTTGTAGTTTCGGTGGTGACAGACCATTTGGGGAACTTGGGAGGTGGTGCTGACCTTTTGAGAGTTTGAAGAGTTTGAAAGACAAACTGTCATTCGGGAAACTCAGAAGGTAGCACTGGCCATTTAGAGAACACTAGAGACACCTCTGGACAGTCATGAAACTCTAGAGATGGCTCTTGCCATAGTGTAAACTGACAATGGCTGTAACTGTTCAAGGCACTTAGTGGGTTCATCTGGTTACTCGGAGGACTTTGGGGATGATTCCAGCTGTTCTGACCATTCAGGAAACTCAAGGAATGACTCTGGTCATGCAGGACATACTGGAGATGACTCTGGCTTTTTTTAGGAAGCTTTTGAGATTGTGCTGGCCATTCAGGAATCTTTGAAGACAGTGCTGGCCATGCGATGAACTCAGGGTATGACTCTGACTACTCGGGGGACCCAGGAGCTGGCTCTGACCATTTGGGGAAATTAGGAGAAGTCTCTGGCCAACTCTGAAGATGGTACCAGCCATTTGGGGAATTCCAGAGAGTCTGGTGCCCACCTAGCTGGAAATGCAGAGGGATTTAGGGTTTGTTTTTCTGGAAATTTAAAAGAGTTCAGTGCCGGCCACTCATGGAATTCAGGAAGATCTAGCATTTGCTACTCGGGGGTTTCTAGTAGACCTGGTGCCTGCCATACAGGGAATTTAGGGGGATTTGGTACTTGTTCTCTAAGTAATTTGAGAGAATTTTGCCTTTGCTATTCAGGGAATTCAAGAGGATCAAACTTTTGACACGGGGGTTTCTCTCAGAGATCTGGCACCCACCATTCAATTTAGGGAATTTGGTGTTTGTTCTTTGGAGAATTTGGTGCCTGCCACTCAGGAAATTCAGTAATATCAATCTTTTGCCATGTTGGGGTTTTCTTGAAGATCTGGAGCCTGACTTTCAAAAAATTTAAGGAAATTTAAGGGAATTTGGCATTTGTTCGTAGGAGAATTTAAGGCCTGCCTGTCAGGAAATTCAGGATGATTCAACACTTGACGCTTGGGGTTTTCTGGGAGATCAGGCAGTGGCGGATGGTGAAAAAGTGCTTGGCGGTGGTGTCTGCAGTGACTACTTGAATGAGTCTATGAGAATCTGGTAAGAATCGTAACTGCTCATCCGGTGACTGTATTGGTCCAGCATTCTGTCACTTCTGTCTCTTGAGGTGAGGTGACAGCGCTACCCACTGCGCCAACCCGCCGCCCTTTTTCTTTTCTCTTTTCCTTTAATTTCCTCATGTTTAAGTATATATCACATAAAAATAAAGAAAATCGATATAAACAATTAGGCTGTCTTCAAACAATAAACAGTCTCTTAAACTTTAAATTCTATCAATGGTGAGGTGAATATATATATATATATATATATATATATATATATATATATATATATATATATATATATATATATCTTTTAGGCAGTTTGAGTGGAAAGCAATGATATCTGAACATACTCTGACATCGGAAAATACGATAGAGAAATGCAGTCAAAAGAATCACTGGATGTTTCTAGTATCACAATCGCCATTGAGCTAGCCTGGGCAGATTATTAGAGAACTACACACCTGTCACTGTATTGGACTACAAATACTATCATGCACCTCACACACACCAGCCCCTGATTCCCTCTGATTACTCACACACAGCTGGAAGCTCATGATGAAGTGAATACCAGGACTATAAATACACCTCACATTCACACACACGGTGGTGAGTCTTGTTTGTCTGTAATATTACAAATTGAACTCTATTCTAACTTTGCCGTGTTTTCTGACCCTTGTTTTGTTCTTTTTTATCCTGTTTCCCACCTGCATTGACCACTGTCTGTGACTACAACCACGCTTTTGGAGCACTGGTATTAGCCATGTTTATGGGTGAACAGATTCTAAGTAAAAAGCGGACCCCTGAGGTGGGTGGAGGTTGGTGGGTCAATCAGTGGGGGTATCAGGTGACCCCTCAAAAGAAAGGCAGGTGCTCAAGCACCCAATGCCCTCCACCACCACCCCACCCCCACGTGCCTGGTGTGCCTTCAATTTCTTTATTCAGTCTTAACATGTGCATAGTTGTGTGTTGATTGTGTTTTGCCTGTGATGGCTTGAGTTGATTTCATCATGTGTTCGTGTTTTCTGAATAAAAACATGGTTAAACCTGAGCATATATAGGGAATTTTATATACAGTTTTGCAGAGCACATTGAGAAAATTGTAACTTGTGTAAAAACAGGTGAACTGTGTTTAGAGTTTTGAATGAAATTATTGGTTTGTAAAATTAAGCCTACTGTACCAATAATAGTGTTAGCAATCAATATGAACTGAAATTCATATGCAAGTTTTTATTTGAACAAATTGTCAGAAAATCTTGTCCTAATTAAATTAAATTTGCAATTAATTAAAATATTCAAAACATGATTTGCCACAAGACATTTGCCACACAATCTTTAAACCTTTAAATCTGCATAAGATAAAATTATTACATAATTTACAGTTTGACTAAAGGAGACTTAATATAGAGGGTAGCAAACAAGAAGTTGGTGATTCAGTCAACAGTATAACAGAGTGTCTTATTTTCCTCTATTAGCCAATCCAAACAGAAAACACAAAATAAAACTGCCAACCAGGATAAATGAAATCAAACCTTTACTGATGTATCACACTCACATATTCTCACATACCTGAGTCTCTCCTCTTCCTTCTTACGAAGTTGCATGTCTCTCTGTACCACTCTAAGAACATGCTCCGCTTCATTATTGCTGAGACCCGACAGGTCCAGTTTACGCCCCATCAGTGCTTCACAGGTAAACGGTTCAAGGTTAGGATGCTGGAATGACAATTGTTCGTCCTTACAGACTTTTGAGATGAAGCCTGGAAGAAGAGAGAAATGTCATTCTGTATATTCTGTGATTGAAATTCACGGGACTGAAATATGGCAAAACTGACTCCAACAGTGAGACTTTAGACAAACTCAGTATGCTACGCATTTCTGTTTTGGCTAACCCGTTTGGACGATAACAAAAGACAATATTCTTTTCTTGTATTTTCTACTCTAAGCTTTAATGTTAACCTGTGAACTATATTCTCGATCTGACAAGTTTTCTCTGTGTATGTGTTGTGTGTCTGATTTTTTAATAATATCAGATCCAAGATGCACCATACATCAGAAACACCTGCTCTGAGTGGTCTGGACGGTTTCACTCAGGAGCTCAAACTCTATAAATCTTTTATTACTATATTTATTTTTAAGCTTATATTTGTTTTTTTTTTGTTGTTTTTGTTTTTTTGTTTCTAACACATTCTCTGTGTGATATTCTGAAATGTTCTGAAATTATGCAGCAAAGATAAACATGAACAAATCAAAACCAGCTTTTATGTTGTTATAGCATTCTAATATTGAAGCCTGTTTTACTCACGTGCAGTGTACCACCTAAGATAAATGCTGTTCAAACTCATTAATGCTAATCCACTGGGTATTATACCAGAAAAGAAACAAGTTTATTCAGTCTTTACAGAAAGTATTAATATTGACTGCACTGGAGTATTCAAACCATCAAACCAACTGCAAACAGGTAGCAGAAGAAAAACTTTGCTTCAGCCAAACAATTATTAATACTGCTGCTATTATCTGGGAAAGTACACCTAAACACTGGGCTGTTTTTTTATCTTTCCCAATGCTGTAGCATCACATGTGTCGACTACAGATTTTTAGCTGCCTTTAACCTCTATAGCATACCCATAATTTACCTTGGGTATAATAATTTATGGCGCTTTATTTGATGGAGACTCTGGGATCTGGCTGATTGGGGGAGATTGCATTGGCTGGGATCATTGACTATGATATGGTAGGATAAATGGACTAGTCTGGCTGCTGCACACATTTCTCTGCATGTATGGGATTCTGTTGGTGGACATGCGCAGCAGATAAAGTTACAAACTATGGCCATAAAAGGTATAGCTGAGGTGCATTGTCTGGCAGTGTGTGTGTGTGTGTGTGTGTGTGTGTGTGTATGTGTGTGTGTGTGTGTGTGTGTGTGTGTGTGTGAGTGAATAAGTGTGTATGGATGTTTCCCAATATTGGGTTGCAACTGGAAGGGCATTCACTGACTAAAATATATGCTGGAATAGTCAAGTGGTGCTCGCTGCAGAGCCATTTGGGCGAGCTGAGCTCCAGTGAGGGGGAGCTTGAGCTTGAGCTCCACCTTTTTTGCACTTCTTCTACGAGTGATGTCACTGGGGGTAGGGTTAGGGGTGGGGTTGGTGTACGCATTAAAACAGCTTACAGGAGGCAGAACGAGAGCTCATGCTCCCCCTCGCTGAAGCTCAGCTCTGCTCAAATGGCTCTGCAGCGAGCACCCTCTCGGAATAGTTGGCACTGACCTTTATATAAATTCAACACCGGGATCAAAACACTGGGGATCACATGACATAACACAATCATTGAGAAATAAAACACATGACAAAGACAACCAATGAAGAACATAACACATGACTAAATAAACCAATGAAAAAAAAGGAAAATGAAACATATTGCTGTAAACAAAGCAAAGAAGAGGAAGACAAGACTAAACTACAAAATAAAATAAAAACACAACGACATGACACCTTACAGATCCCCCATCTCATGCCCAAACCAAAAACAAATCAAACATTTCAGGAGGGTGGAAGCATATGGGATCAGGGAATGGGATTTAGGGCCAGGTCCATGGAGCAGAGGAAGGCCTTGGCCGTAGAGCAGAGGCTGGCCTGGGAAAACAGACTGTGAGGGTGTTGCTGGCAGAGCAAAAAGTGAGGGGACGGCACTGACATAGTGAACTGCGAGGGTGGCACCAACAGAGAAGACTATGAGGGTGGCACCAATAGAAAGACTGTTAGGGCTGCGCTGGCAGAGCAGGCAACATGTGTTGTCTTATAGTTCCCCATATTTTGGTGAGGCTGTTGTGGCTTGAGCAAGCCCTGGCAAAGCTGTTGTGGTTTAAGCAGGTCATGGTGAGGCTTGAACAGGCATGGTTTAAGCCGTCATCTCTCCCATGGTGAGGAGAGCCACTCAATAAATGTGCATAATTAATTTTATTTCATATATCTTTAAAAGCTTCATCAGGCCAATTCACTTGGCAAAAATTATGCAAGTAAAACTGTGAAATCATGGTTGGTTCTAGCTTTCTATAACAACACTCCACTAAAGTCAAGGTGCAGAAACCCAAGTGCAGTTTTTGTTGCCCAAAGGTCCAAGGCAAAGCATGGCATGGCACATAACAGCATAGCACAGGACAACACAACACAGAATAGCATGAGATGGGATGGCACAGCATGGCCAAAAAAAGAATAAACTTACTGACATATAGGGTTACACAAACAAAGCTAGATCAAGAACAAAGGACAAATGAAGGAACATATATATTTATAGAACGGCTGTTTATTTACAGTGCAGGAGTGCTGGAAATACAGGGTGTGAAGGGCAAAATGTCCATTGTGCAGCTAAAGTCCAGGCTCATACAGGTCCGATGTGGGAGTGGAGTGCAAATCGTGCGTAGCTGGAGAAGGGAACACCGCGAACCTTCAGTCCAAACATGCTCCCACTTCTTCCTCTGGCGTCATCCCTTATATTCCCCTCTTTTAACAAGTCTCAGCTGGCCACAATCGGCATGCTGTTTGAGGTGAGGGAGTGTCCATGGCGATGCTGAAACCCTCAAGTGTCAACCTGGTCCTCCTAGTGCTTCTTGTTGGTGCAAAGGAGAACACATGGATGGGAGGAGGAAAAAACAAAACATTTTCTTGCCTAACCTTTACCATACCAGTGCAGCTAAAGGACACCCAGATGATGGGTGGCAGCATTGGTGGTTTGGGGGAAAGGTGACAAGGAGACCTTACAGACTTGGCGCACCTCTGCTTCTAGTCCCTGGTATTTCTCCCGGACCTGCCAGGCATTGTCGGCCACCCTGCAATGTTTCTTGAGGGCCATTTAGGGCCAAATGGATCTCCTCGATCACTGCCCACATCCGGGAGTTATCAAGTACCAGACAAATTCTCTCATTCATGACTGTATAGTAGTGTGGGTGGGGTGCAGGCTGGCGGATTTCTCAACCCACCAAGCATACTTTCACCCAGTCCTTCCACTGTTCCTTTTCCAATAAGCCTCCGGAGGCGATCTGTAACACTGGGGAGGGGGGGTTAAAGCACTCACCCTTCTTGTTGTTCGTAGGTTTATGGTAATCACGTCGACGGCCCTCATGTCCAATATTTTATTGGGTGGGGTTCGCGGAGGCCAGACAGACAGGAGTCCCAGACATCAATAGTTCGGTGGACTCTTGATGTCCCTTCAGTGAGTGGTTTGCAGGTCTGTAAACTGGCCGTGCGGTGCCCTATTTGGGGTACCATTCTGGGGGTGCTCCTGCCACTCTGTCTCTCACCTCCTAGGCTTCTGTTACCTCTGCCAGCTGTAGTGCCTCCAGAAGATCAGTCTAGCTGGTGGGCTGTGGAGCATAACCAGATGTCGTTGTCAAGTGGGCGGTGCTAGTAGCAGGCATGTAATCGTCCCTCTCTCGGCGACCTGGATAGTCCATCATGTAGGAGGCAGAGGAAGGCGGCGCTGATCATATGTACACTGCTGGAACTCACACGCTGTGTGCACTGGTGTTTGACCAGAATCTCCCTCTTGAACAAAGCATAGTCCTTTTGAAGCTGGCGGGAGTGATAGGTGATATAAGTTTAAGCAAGAGGGACTGATAGGCCTGCTAGGCCCCCCTTATCAGGAACGGGGTGAGATGTTGGACCCACTTCTTTCTATTCCAATTCTTATTGGCTGCCAGTACTTTGAAGCTCCGCAGGTTTGATCTTCCAGGTCACCAAGTTTGGGCAGGAAATGAAACAGCCTAAAGGGCTCAGGGGTGGGCCATCTGGGTGTGGATCAACTATATGACAATAATTTGTCAGGTAGTGTATATAACAAACACTAGAGATCACATGACATGACACAACCAATGACAAACAATACACAAGAGAAAAAGACAGCCAATGAAGAACAAATGACTAAATGGCAAATAACTAAATTACCTAAAGAAAATATGACACAAGAACTAAATGCTAGATGGTTTGAAACAAAGCAGGAAATAGGAAGATAAAATTAAACTACAAAATGAAAGACGAGACAACATGACACGCCTTACACAATTTTAGTTTTTTTGACATACTGTAATTTTTCAATCAACTTTTAATAGTTTATCCTCTTTTTTAGAAAATAGGTTTTACGATTGATCAAAAACAGGCTTATTAGGGACAAACATGTGTTCGCTGAAACATATTACAATGGTCATCTTTCACCCATTGCTGTTTAACGCTAAATTTAATTTGTTAAAAGGCTTTTTGGATAAATTATGCATCTATATGGTATGTCGGAATGGACGTTAGATTGTGGTTTGTATGTGTGTGCTGAAACTTTTATGTGTGTAAATAAATCTATCATTCTTTTTTTTTCGGCTCAGTCCCTTTATTAATCTGGAGTCGCAACAGCGGAATGAACCGACAACTTATCCAGCCAATGTTTTACAGAGAGGATGCCCTTCCAGCTGCAACCCATTACTGGGAAACACTCATACACTCTCATTTACACACATACACTACAAATAATTTTAGCTTACCCAATTCACCTGAACCACATGTCTTTGGACTGTGGGGGAAACCGGAACACCCTTAGGAAACCTACGCAAACACGGGGAGAACATACAAACTCCTCACAGAAATGCCAACTAATCCAGCTGAGGCTCGAACCAGCAACCTTCTTGCTGTGAGGCGACAGCACTACCTACAGTGCCACCGCGTCGCCTTGACAGGAATTATATTGTAATATACTGTAAAAATACTGTATATTCTAC